ACAGGAAATATATGAATGTCCTAAACTAGGATAATGAAAGAAGTAAGATGGGAGATGGCCCATTTATTAAAATAAATATGTAATATCACATGTTTGAATATTAATGTGATACTTTAGCTTGGGAAAATACATAGGAATATTCCCTAAAGTTTTTTTGGCTCTAGCACTGAAGCTCTAGGTTTAAATGTCTTCTACTTGCCAGGAGCTATTCCCTGCTCATGCCACAATAAGCAGTATCCCCTGCCAGGAGCACAAAGGGTTTTGGAAAGAGAAGATTTGAGAAGAAAATACCCCCATAAATAACCTCAGGAAGACATTAAGGAATGGCAAATAATTACTTTCTGTGTCCTTGGAATGCTGTGTGGTATAGTGTTTATTTATTCAAAACTAATTCTCCTAACCTTTTCTCTGTGACTTGAAAGGCCTGCCAATCTTGAACCATTATTTCTACTTACATGAGGGGCTATTTTATGGACAGATGGGAGCAAAACCTGCAACTCCCCCACAGCCTGTGGAAGTTGGCTTAAGATACTTAAGACCTCAGATTTTGCTCAGGAAAAACACACTACTTTCTCCTAAGTTACACTTTCAGTTTGATCTTAGGGGGAGGTTTCTTGGATGATTGCATGACTATAATTCTATTTGACTTCAGAGAGTGATTGGGGTGTTTTTATGAATGCCACTCTATGACTTCTTCACATATGGGAGAGGCTTAGATGACTTCAGAGCCAAGGCTTCATTCTGAGAAGCATCTATGTTTTGTTTCTATGGCAACAGAACATTTAGAACAGAATAAGAGTAACTTTACATGTGGAAAATATTAATGACAGAAATTATTTGTGTAACAGGGCCGGAATCATATTTTCCTTGATTTAACAGATGCTATTTTTTTCTTTTGTTCTTTGACCACCTTTTTTGCAAACTCTTTGATTGAAGAAAATCCAACCACTAGAGCAACAAAATGGGATTGTGGTTTATGAGAGTCACCATTCATAAATTCAAAGACATAGGCAGACCCTATCTAGAAACTTTCATAGTATCTTTACAAACATTACAGATCTACAGGTTTCTACACTAAGGTCAGAGGAGACAAAGTATTTGAAAAATGCACAACTAGCCACTGGCTTCTTTTCCCCAAGTGATTTCTTCTTTTTCTGTACTTTCAGATGAACATTATAACCAAGTAGAAATAGTCCTCTCTACAGATTATTTCCAACCAGAGTATATTGGATGAGTTAAAAAGATGCATTGTCCATATGTTCCAAAAGTAAATTGTTTGTTTCAGTCTCACAATCCAGAAAAGTGGTAGTTTTCCTAAGGGGATAAAAATTATATAGTAAAGAGCAGAATGACTGGATTTAATTTCATTTCTGTCTCTTATTATCTATGTTGACTTGGATGTCTTGCTTAAATTCTCTTAGTAATGTAATCTGTATAAATGGAAAAAAAATAGATATTCCTGCTTCCAAAGTTAGCATAATATGAAATTAATAAGTAGGACTGTATTTGCCCATACATAATATACAATAAATGTTATTATGATAGAAGTTTCAAACTAAAAAACCCTCTCTATGTCCAGTAGGACACAAATCTGAAGTTTAGAAATTTGGGGGCACAAATTGTTATGGTAATATCTTATAAACATTTTATAGGGCCTTCCCTAGTGACGCAGCAGGTTAAAGCACAGCACTAAGAAGCTAAAGCTACTTCAGCACGAGTACAATCCCTGCCTGGGAGGTGATCCACAGCAGACCTCTCCTGACCCACTGGCTGCTCCCTTCAGCAGTGTACTTCGTCAGTCAGTCTGTTCTGTGCCCCAATCTGTCTGTGGTGAAGCCTCTTACCACCCCTGTACTTCTGGCCTGTACCCCAGTTCTGTATGCATAAATAAATATATCTTTGAAAAAATTAGAATAAAATCCTAGGTGAAAAAATATTATAAATTATAGCATTATTTTCAAATTAAGGGAGAAAATAATGTATTAAGTCTTTAAGATTTAGAAATATATTCTGAGAGGCAAGATGAAATCATTCCCTGAAGCCTGACTTTTAAGACACACATTAATAAATGTACAAAATGAGAAAAAATAGTTAGTGGTCATGAGACATGTTTCTCTGGGTGATAAATCCAAAGAGAAAAAAACCTAATAATTGTTTGAAGAGTCAATAGCCCATTAAGTTTATGGCTGTAACCTAGAAATGTAACTAGTAGAAAAGGGGGAATTTCACTACCTTCCCTCAAATTCCAGCATTCCAATTTGAAATTGGCAAAGCACTTTGTGTTGTCATCTATCTACTAGTGAATTTTATGGTTAAAACCTTAGAAGTAATTTTAGCTCATATAACTTTTACCCAATTTTATATATATGTGTGTGTATATATATATATATATATATATATAATAAGATTTATTAAGGTATATATTACTTATATAAGATATATATATATATGGCTTATTATTAAGATTTATTTATGCATACAGAACTGGGTACAGGCCAGAAGTACAGGGGCGGTGAGAGGATTCACCAGAAACAGAATGGGGAGCAGAACAGGCTGACTGATGAAGCACACTGCTGAGGGGAGCAGCTGGCGGGTCAGGAGAGGTCTGCCAAGCCATGTGGATCACCTCCCGGGTGGGGATTGAACTCATAGTGAAGTGACTTTAGCTTCTTAGTGCTGTGCTTTAACCTGCTGCACCACCAGGGAGGGCCCTACCCCATTTTTTTTTTAAATGTTTTTTAAGCAGGGGTCATAGGAAAATTGATTTATGTTCTCAAATAATTTTGGGGAAATGACTCCATTTATTATTAGTATGTTGTGAAAGTCAAGCATGAAGTGTTATTTCAGAAAATAACCCTCCCAAACATGTGACTCATTATTTTTACTAAAAATTAATGCATTGTGGAATTAAAAATTGAATTTTATTGAAATAAATTTACTTAAAAAAAAAAAGTAGGCCCCCTTCCCCCAACCCCTGGTGCAGCGGGTTATAGCATAGCACTATGAATCTAGCTGCAGCCACCTCAGCATGAGTTCAATCCCCAGCCAGGGAGGTGACTCACATGGCGTGGCAGACCTCTCCTGTCTTGCCTGCTGCTCCCCTCAGCAGTGTTATTTCAGTAGATCTGCCTGCTGTGCATCCCAGTCTGTCTTTGGTGAATCCTCTCACCCATCACAACTCTGGTCTATTCCCCAGTTCTTATATACATAAATAAATAAATCTTTAAAAAAAAGAAGTAGTGGCCCTCCCTGGTGGCGCAGCGGGTTAAAGAACAGCACAAAGAAGCTTCAGCCACTTTCGCATTAGTTTGATCCCCGCCTGCCCCGGAGGAGATCCAGGTGGCATGGCAGACCTCTCCTGACCTGCCCGCTGCTCCCCTCAGCAGTGTACTTCATCGATCTGTTTGTTCTGCACCCCACTCTGTCTCTGGTGAATCCTCTCACCCTCCGAATCTCTGGCCTGTACCCCAGTTCTGTATGAATAAATAAATAAATCTTTTTTTAAAAAAAAGTAGTAATTTTATGAGACATAAAGAGAAGTGGTCAAATGATGCCATCTTTGTGGACTAGCCCCAAAGACCACCACCATTGCCCCAAGCTGCAAACCCCACTCAGACCTCAGCACCTCCTCAGATGTCCACCAGAGCTGGCCAGGCTGGCTGCGCCTCTGACTTAGACAAATAATTTGATCTTCAGATTTCATTTCTTATTTTCCAAATGAAAATTTTGAACCAGGTATCTAACATTGCTTATGTCCCAAATATCCTGTTATTCTTTTACTATTGTACACCCCAACCTCAATTCCTGATGTTAATTAAGCTCCTTTTCATAAACATGTGAAAATTATCACCTTAGGTAGCCAAAGAGTTCTAGAAATTAGTGTGGGCTGTAAAATAAAATACTTTTTTTTTTAACCTTTAGGAATTTAGCTACAGTCAAAACAATTTCATGAAAACTTATACTCAGTATGCAAAGGGGCCATTTCTTTCCCCCCAGAGAGAATTCATAATCATAGGCAAGGACTGGAAAAGCAGTTTTCCCCATGAAGTGTTAGCATATTCCCGCTGAGAAGCCCATTCTATTTTAATTTGCCAATTAAAAGTGGCCTGGGAAATTACACACTGTCATTATCTCATTAAAATTACTATGCTTGTCACTTCTTTTCCTTGGGAAAAAAGAACATTCAGGTAGCTCTATTGCTCCCCACAACTTAAATTTAAAAGCAGCCTTCAAAGATTAGTTTTATCTGGGTCCATTGAGAACTGCACCTCCTGCTGTTATTACAGCTACAAATTCCACAGAGATCCAAGAACTACCTCCACACCATTTACTGGATATTTACTGTATCTGTGAAATTTACTAAGCTCCATTGAGAAGTTAAAAAGGTATTAAAGAGCTTGTTTTCAGGAAATAAACAGCCACTGTCATTGGAAAATGTAGCCTTATAAAGGGCCTTGTAAGGATCCCTTTTATACTATCTATAGATTCTATTTGATTATTAGCCAATCTTTCCTTATCTGTCTTGCCTGGCTATCTGCAGAATGGCATTATGAGCAAGGTATTAATGGTTGAGATAATTCCCTGTAATAAAAAAATAAACAACTTGATATTTGTTGCTATAACAGTTATAAATTCTGTTCCCTTATAAACCGTATACTGAGTAGGCATTACATGTAAGAAATAGAGTGATTTGAACTGTTACAACTATTTTTCAGTTTCTAATGAGTTATAAAATGACTAAAGGACAAAAGTAAGAAGAAAGCAATGAAGAGACTCTGGATAATGACATATTTAATAATGCCTACTTGAATAATATAATAAATAATAAATCTATGTCACTGGCTTCCTGCAGGTACCTGAATATGCATATACCTGTAGATTATGTATTTCTGAATACACATCTTCAAATAGTCCATTATCTTTTGGTTGATAAAAACACAGTAACATAGCTTACTAGAGGAAAGGCACTCCACCTGTCTTTAACCAAAGGGTACGATTACCTTATTGCCTTGAAATCCCTTTGGGCCGGGGTCCCCTGGAGGTCCACTAATGCCCTGCTCCAAGATGAAAACCAATAGTTAGTTGTGTGTACAAAAGGCCAACCCAGAATGAAATGAATGCATTAAGGTCCCTAGAGTTCCTAGTGTTAGAAGTCAAGCTATATAACTCAGATTTAAGTTGAAGTTAACTCTGAGAAAAGGAATTAGATAAAATCCCATGTGTCAAAGTGGTTTTTTTTTTTTTTTTAAGCACTTAAGCTAAAAGTAAGCATTTACTCCTGAGGCATTTGTTTTCCAAATCTGTATTTTTAGTCTTATGCATGGTATGGACCCCTTCTTTGAATAGTTTTGCCTATGAAACAACATTTTTTTTTTAATCCAAAGCATATGTAACTTATAATTGGAGCTTCCAGTGACCCTGGAGTAATAACCAGCATTACTGTCCTGCCAGGACACAATCCCAGGTCAAAACAAAGAGTTGATAGCTAAATACTGTCCAGAATCTTGAGTAAAAGGATGATTTTCATACTTTCATTTCAATGTAGACTTTGAAATCCTAAAATTAAGTCCTTGTATACACATACACCATTCGCCTATTACAACTTGTGAATAGGCAAGTCCCCAGATTGGAAAAAAAATGGATCCAAATTATTTCTTGAAATCCATGGGATATATCTAATTGAATAGATGTCTTAAAAATCATGCCTTGTCAAAAGTACCAGATGGTTTCCCTCATAGCAGGAGTATAAAGGACCAGGGGAGAAAATAATAATAATAATAATGAACAGCTATATACCAGAGACATTTTGTGGGGGTGGAGTGGGGACTGGGATCAAAAACAGTGGGGGGAGGGAAATGCACTGGGCTATGGTGATGGCACATGGGTGATTTGGTGATGGGAAGCCCAAGGGGATTACAATTGAGATGGAAAAATACACAAAATGATGTAAAAATAAACTATTGTATGGTAAAAATATGTTAACAATAAAAAAATCATTCCTTGTCATTGAGCAGTAACTATTTATAGTGACAGAACAATACAAATAGATCTTCCAAGTATGACTTGTAATACAAAAGTAATTGCATACTGTTTTTAATTTCTTGGACTTTACCTGTCCTCCTACACTCTAATTTTTTAAAATTTTATCCTTTAAGCTACTCACCAAATTGACCTCCTGCTGATTATCTTTAGGGAATCAGAATTAGCTATTCAAAACATAAGGGTACTGGTTTCCAAATTTTTGATATCATCTGAGAATCTTTAAAAATGAGACCTGATTCTAATCCCCACACAATCTGATTGAATTTGTAGAGAGTACAAATGGGCAAAGGATTTTTTATTTTTAAGTTTCTCAGTGATTTTAACCCACTTAGATTAGGTTTTGCCTCCTTACCTGAAGGCCTCTGGGCCCCTTTGGTCCATATGGTCCTGCAGATCCCTGTGAAATAAAATTAAGAGTAATAATGTTAGGTGGAAGAGGAGGGAATGGGTTCTCTATAGAGGCCAGTCTACCCAAATCATCCAAACATTGCAGTCAACAAATTCAGTTAAGGAAATGATCCTAATTAAGAAGCACACTGAGTGTCCAATTTCCTATAGTAAACAAACTTCATGAAAACAGATTTTAGAAATAAGACTTTTAGATTAAAAGATTCACATCGTAAGATACCCTAGAAAGCAGTAAACATGGTGGAATATTATTTCCTTCTAACAAAGCGATGGCAGTTAAATTAACAACTGAGTTTCCATGATGTTAGATCACTCTTTAGCTCCTCTTCAAGACATGGAATTTGTCAACACCATTTATATATAATATTCTTCTAATATACCTTCAATATGTGCCTTAACTAGGAAACCCTTTAAAGCTTATTTTTTAATGAGAATATAATATAATCATTTCTCTTTTCCTACATATCCTTTTTTTTATTCTTAACAAAATATAACCTATTATAATAAGCATACTTTGACAATTAGAGAAAAATAAATAAATGAAAAAATTCACAAAGGCAACTGATTTTAACTGTTTCGGTTATTTTCATCCAAGTTTGGTCCAAGTAGGTTTTTCTTCATATAATTTGATCAATGTGCATATTCAACTTTGTGTCCTACTTATTTGTCCTTCTATTGTATCAAAATATTTCCCATTTCATTTAAAATTTTTTGTAAATGGAGTAATATTCAAGAATATGAGCCTAACTTAATTTACTTATGTATGTTCCTAGTTTTTCTGCTTCATACTTAAGGATAATTTCCTCTAAAATGATAAAGACTTTGTCTGGCTCTAAGTCTCTTTTGTCTTTTAGACCACATTGGGAAAGAAAACTGAAAATTTCCTCTACCGAGTTTGTTCAAATTTCCATTCTCCCTACGTTAGTAGAGAAAACAAATATTCTTTAAGAACCCCTATTATTTCAATGTTTGCTAATTTGATATGCTAATGTGTTCACACATTTTCTCTAGTAGTCCTTTATATTTCCAATATATTGTCTCCTCATGTTCTTTGTATGTTTTGCTTGAACTTAAGGGAAGTCAGCATAAAGGATACTATATTCCATTGACTGTAGACACACACTTTTTAGATTTTTGCATATCCAATATTGGAATACATATGACAATCAACCTCCTCTTACATATAGTTTGAAGTATTTTTTGCTTTCCTTTGGCACAGAAAAAAAATTGTAGAGACTTAATAACTCTGGATCTCTTCATCAGTGAAATATGATATTACCTGTCAATTATTTTTTCAATTATTGTTTTATTTTCATTTTTATTTTCTTCGGTATTTCCCATTTTCATTTATGCTCCCAAGAATTCACTCATATCACTTTTTTCATTTTCCCCAAAGTTATTTGCCAAGCCTCCATTTCTTTTAAGCCTGACCTTTAACTCTACAGCAGTTTAAAAGCTTTCAGAAAGTCTCAAGCTATTTAAAGTGCTTCGTTACATGGGGCAGTGTCATTATTTTATGCTCATCTTTTCACCTTCTGCTTCATTCTCTCTTTGACATTCCCATAATTAAAACATAGACATTTAAAGAGTTTAATATCTTGGTGGCATTTTGCTGTGGGTTCTTACTTGTTATAAAAACTATTTTTATTCCATACTTTTTGGACTTTTTGATCTTTGTGTTTCATAACACAGAGATTACTCCTTATTTCTGGTTCTTCAAGGAACCCCTCTCTCTACATGTTTAATATTGCCTCCAGTTTAAGTATTCTATATTTTTATAAAGTACCACCCAATTTGCTGCATTTTCAAAACTTCAAATCCCTATTTGTATCTAGTTCTGCCAATTTGCTTACATATAATTCATTAACTTATTTCATAGAATTCTTTGGAAAGTGCCTGTTTTCAGTGACTATACCTGGAAAGCAACTTTACTTAGACCAGATTGGAACCTGAATTAGTTAAATTATTTTTCACCATAACATTCAGTGGGCCTGGTCTCAAAGGTTAGGACATCATAAAATAGTCTTACTGATCCATAGAATGTCACTTGGGGGCTCCATTATATAAGTTAACTATAGCTTTGTTTTCTGTTTCACGGTTTAGAGATGTGAAAATTGAGTCAATGACTGTCTAACTCCAGTAGTGAGATCAACACAATGCATCCTGGAAATTTCTTCTTAAGGAAACTCAACCCAAAAGAGATCACAGCTGTAAGCATTTTAAAACCATGTTTCTTACTTTGTCACCTTTTATTCCTGGTTTACCACATTCTCCACGTTCACCCTAAAAAATAAATAGATAGAACAAGTAATAGGACATTTGCTGTTATTCAGTGTTGGGATATTTAATATGCGCAGTAAATTCTAATGACATAGGCACTCTGCTGACTGATAATACAATTTTATCTTCAGTCCTATGGGTTGTATAGACAACAGAAAATCTAAATTTTTTCATCTATTTTTTTTCTTTCTACGAGTCATAGAGAAAACCAAATCAGTGATACCAACTAATGAGGTTTAGCATTTTTCAAGAGGTGGATGAGATCAAATGGAAAGAAACCAAGGTTTACTCAGCATCTACCATAAGTTAGATACCCCTGGCATGTCATTTAATGAAATCCACATTACTGCCTAATGAGATCAATTTTATAATTCTTATTTTATAGTAGAGAGATTTTAAGCTAAGATAGTTCCCCTCAATCATAATAGCTAGTAAGTAGAAGAATCAAGGTCTGAAATCAGGACTGCTCAAAATCAGAGTTCTATTCTTTCCACACCATGCTCTAGCCTCATTATTGACCTTGATCACTAGGTGGAATTGTCCTAGAGTAGTTTGAAAGATTCTAAGGCTGTGTCATGACTTGGTGGTGAAAGCAGCCGCGATGAATGAGTGAGGTTTCTGTGAGAGAGAACAGGGCATGGTGGCGAGAGTGCTATGTTTTTTCCATCATCACATTCTTTTGACGCTCCTTTGCTGAAATATTAATGAAGAAACAACTAACCTCTGAATGATACTTTACAGTTTATTAATTGTATTTTATAGACATTATTTCAGTTAATATAACTTAAACTGTGATAAATAGTATTACCCCAGTTTTACATACTGTGAATTTGTGAGTCAAATAGGTCAAGAACTTGCTCAAGTCGAAGTAGGATCTCTGAACACTAAGCCACTATACAGACTTCTAAGATTTCTAATAATTGGAACTACAAAAGTCAATTAGAAAAATGACCATAGTTAGCATTTCCAAAGTACTTTCGTGGAGCTATTTGTTCTGAGCCTCTCAATTTAATTCTTTCTTTTTGAGATAAGAAAACTCATTTGAAAAGGTTAAATGAATTACTTAAATCTACATGCTACTACTAATCAGTTTCCTCACTATTAGCTTCTGCTTCTGTTGTTGCTTTATTAGCTAGGTGTTAATCTGTGGCATACTACTCAAAATGCCAGTACACAATGACATAAGAATTGTCAATCAATATATGACTTCCTTCATTGAGGAAGTCTTACTATCAAACAATAAGTGTCAGCTGAAATACCAGTGTATGCATATCACAGAAATACCAATGATATAGTGGACTTGTATTTTTATTGATGTTTATCTTCTCATAAAAGAGCAACAAATAGTTCACATAGTGACAGTTAGCCTGCAAACCACATTTCGCATAACTCTGCTCTGAGGGAAATTATAGTTGTATCTGTCAATTATGGATGCAGATTATGTGTCAAAGTCTTAACATTTTGTGAATCCCTACCACACTTTTTCAAAATACATATTTCTGTCATCCATAAGGAAAACAAAGCTGAGAGAGTAAATTAAGAAGTCAACTAATGACCACAAGCTCAGGTCTATTAGATTTACAAGTCCATGTTCTTTTCTTTTTTAAAGATTTTATGCATGTTATTTATTTTGCATAGTAAAAATTATTTTGTGTACGCCGAGGTGCAGGGCAGGGGAGGGGTGAGAGGATTCACCAGAAACAAATGGGGAGCAGAACAGGCAGATCCACAGAAATACACTGCTGAGGGAAGCTGCAGGTGAGACAGGAGAGGTCTGCTGTGCCATATGGGTCAGCTCCCTAGCCTAGGATAGAACTCAGGTAGCTACAGCAGTAGTGCTGAGACTTAACTCCCTAGGCCATCAGGGAGGCCCCTAAATCCATGTTCTTCATCAGTTAGCCATAGCTGAACAAAGCACCCTGCTATAATTGACAAATTACTTTTCACTACCTGATACTTCTGCCTAAGGTACTGCGGGAATATTGCTGGCAGTGGGAGCAGGAAAGGTGGAGTGGGAGTATCATTCTTAGAACCAGTGATGCTTCTATTCAGAAGTCATTTGTTCTCTATCCATATAAGTCAACCTGACCCAGGAGAAACTGAGCCTCTCTTTAGAACAAGTTGAACATTGATTTCTAAATGCAAATGGAAAATCATGAATAATCTATTAGAAAGCAATTAATTTAATAACATTGGATGAGAATCAGATGAGTCAGTCACCAAAATATAAAACAGAAAAGTAACATAAATATGCTAAAAATTCTTTTGGATAGAATTCACATTCCATTTGTCCAAACAGATTTGTTAACTATAGGGTCCTGACGAACAGCATTTGTTTGAGGGACAAATTTCCATCAATGAAAATATTGTGCTCATTTATTTGCCTCTGCAAAGGCATTTTCTCTTTTGGAAGGCTCATTAATTCCTGTGGAATGGCCACAGTTACAGTTCTAGCTTCAGAAAACGATGAACAGATTAGCTCTGTTCCCAGCTTCTCCTGGTGAAATTCTGGTTTGAATGTGGATGGTTTACAAGCTGCAGTACTGCTGTAACTTATATTTTCCAAATGATAGGAACTTTTCCAGTGAAGCTATAATTCCCCAGAAGGGTAAATTATTTATCAATTATCAATCCATCAATTAATTTATCAAAGTATATCCACACATAAATTTATACATATATGTATATATGGGCTTCCTGATGTTGGTAACTAGCTCATTGCCTAAATTAGGAGAGGGGTGTGGATAATTTTTTCAACTATATATGTAATAGACTTAAGCCATTTTACAGTGACGTCAAGCTTATTGGTTACGCAAAACATAATCTATAAGAAAGGGGACAGACCCCTTGCCCTGAAGACTCCTGACTTTAAGGGAAGGAGGGAGGCCGGAGGAGACTCAGAATTGGACACTACAGTCTAGATCTGTTCCCCAGGACTAAGGGCTTTGACACTGTAGAAGAGAATGAGTGATAGAGACACATCCTAGTTTCGAACAGAATATTTGATAATAGAATTGTGGCATTGACATATAACAATCTCAAAGGTTCCTGAATCCCACAACAGTTATTTTTATTTTGTTTGAATCAGTATTACTTCTAACTTGTAATCTGAAAATAATCATAAAATAACCTACCAATGAACACATTTTGTTTATCAAATTTACTTCTGCAACTTCTACTCAGATGCCTTACTGCTTGAAATCAGTGGTTCTCCACTGCTTGCCCAGGATAAATCCTCTTTCCCCTGTGACAGGATTCAGTCTCTAGGTTTCACAGGAAGTTAAGAAGCAAGGGAGAAATCTAAGTGTGATACTGCTGCATTTGCTTTTCTATAAAAAGTTTAAATCTGGATAATTTGTACTGCCTGTTAAATTGGAGCGCTCTGAAATAAAAATAATAATTCACGTTTGCAGACCTGAGAGGGGAATCTTCAAGGATTCTTCCACAGCTTATAACATACTCCTATATCTTCAGCTATATCATTCTTTTATGTTAACAGAATTAATAGTATGTTTAGGAATTAGGGAATCTAGACTTACAGAGATAAAGAAAAATAACTTTTATTGAGTACATAGATACATTTATATTTCTCTTTTTCTCTGAAACTCTGGTCTGTTTGTTGTTACCAACTTACCTTCTCACCCTTGTACCCAGGAGTTCCCTAATTAAAAAAGAAAAGTAAAATGTATTAGAAGATATATTTAGATAAAGTATTTGAAGTGTTTATTGATAAAAGTATAACAAAAACACTCCTGGAAAATGAAACAATATAAAAGTAAGAGATTTTACTTCTCTTTGCACTGAGGGAAAAGAACTTCCTTATCCTTTTATTACCATCTGTACCCAGTTCCAGATTTTTTTTTTTCAAGCCCAGTTTATTCCCCTTCGAAGGAGAGATTTGACACTTAAACTCATCGGAGAAGTGAAGACCTCTAATGTTCTACTCAAAATTGTTATTTTGACTTTCAAACTATGATCTATTACAGTTAAGATGGTTTCATAGAGACTCAGAGAAAAAATTGGCTTTGAAAATGCTCTGAGATAATGACCTTTAGAATGTTCGTAAATATTTATATCCATTAGGTTCTCCTTTCAGATTCTGTCTAGAATATATAGCCTCAAGGAAATGAATAGTTCCTTTATCAACCCTAAGGAGACAGTGACCTTTAAGTTGCTATATTTTATCACAGGCTAAATAAGGGGCCAGTGCTTCTGCCCCCCTTTGGTGTCACTCTCAGGAATCCTACACAGCCTTTTCCATTGTCTTGCTGCCATACGCCCTTTAAGTAATACAATTCTGACTATTAAATGGACTGGGAAGTTGCCAACTCTAAGAAACAAAGTCTTTTTGAAATAGAATTGCATGTCTTTTTCATACAACTATAGATTTCAAGTATGAAAATAGAATTGCAAGACATTTTTTCAGTCAGCTAGAGAAACTAATAGAATAAATAAGCTCTTATGGCAGTTATTTTGAGTCTGCATGTGACTTTTTTGCATGAGGTAAAAGGAAAACTTCAGGAAGGAAGGAAATAACACTTTTCTCCAAATAAGCAGTCATCGTGAAATAGAAAAGGAAAATTAGTCAAAAATACTGTTACAACTGCAATTTAACCCATTTTAGAAATACTTATTCACATAGTCTAAATTTTACTATCATGCTTACAATTAATGGCTACATTTCAGGCAGTTATTAAAACAATGCCTGCTTGCAGTGCTAAAAAACAGACTTCCAGTCTTAGGAATATTGAGCTACCCTTAACTTCTTGCTACACACAACTATATTTAAAATTCTGTGATTAATTCTTGTTTAAAAAGTTAATATTGTGGCCCTCCCTGGTAGCTCAGCGGGTTAAAGCACAGCACTAAGAAGGTTAAGCCACTTCAGCATGAGTTTGATCCCCGCCTGCCCCGGAGGCGATCCACAAGGTGTGGCAGACCTCTCCTGGCCTGCCTGCTGCTCCCCTCAGCAGTGTACTTCGTACATCTGCCTGTTCTGCTCCCCACTCTCTCTCTGGTGAAGCCTCTCACCACCCCTGAGCCTCTGGCTTGTACCCCAGTTCTGTATGCACAAATAAACAAATCTTTAAAAAAAAAAGTTAATATTGTATTTAGGAAGGAGCCAAGACTGTTTACAAAAATAAAGAGATAATACTTTTAATAGTAGATATTTTCCCCCATTATTCTTTCCTAATTCCCTCGTCGATTTATTCATTGGTTTCTTTCTCCCTCTCCCTCCCTACTTTTTTCCTCTCCTCTCCTTTTCCCCTCCCTTTCTCCCTCCCTTCCTTCCTTCCTTCCTTCTAGGCATCCTAATTACTATTTTTAAAACTCACATTTTAAAAATCCAAAATTACATTCATCGGTCTCTGCCAAATTTGTTTTCGTCTTTCCTATTTCTTTTTTTTTTTTT